GCCCCAGCAGATGATCTCGTCCGTGGGCCGCGCGGGGGCGGCCGGCGACAGTGACGAGGAGTCGCGTGCGGACGACAAGGGCGTCATGGATTACTACCTGAAGTACTTCAGCGGCGCCCACGACGGCGACGTCTACCCGGCCTGGTCGCAGAAGGTGGAGAAGAAGATCCGGGCCAAGGCCTTCCAGAAGTGCCCCATCTGCGAGAAGGTCATCCAGGGCGCGGGCAAGCTGCCGCGGCACATCCGCACGCACACCGGCGAGAAGCCCTACGAGTGCAGCATCTGCAAGGTCCGCTTCACCAGGTGAGCGCCGGGCGGCCGCGGCTCCCTCCTCCCTCTGTGCTTTCCGCCCCATCCGCCCCATCCGCGGTGGAGCGCAGCGGCCTGGGAGCTGGCAAGTGTTCGGGAGGGAGGGCAGCACCCTCGGGCTCCGGGCCTGCCCCGAAGCCCTGCCCCGGCGCCCCCGCCTGCCAGGTCCAGGCACTCGGTGCCTGGGTGTTCTAGGCCGACCGGGCCGGGGCTGGACCGCAGTAGCCGCGAGAGGTCTGGCATTTCTGGAGCCGGGCCACCACGGCACCGTGGCCACTTCTCTGGTCACCTCGCTCCTGTAAGGCCGGCTTACTTCTCCCTCTGTGAGCAAGAGGCAGCTGAGGGAAGGCCCCGACGGGGTGACGCCATGGCCGGCCCGGCCCAGTCCCAGCTGCCCCGTGTCGAGGGCGCACTGGCGCACTCGGGGAGGGCCTGGGCTGCGAACCAGGACCCCTCCCGCGTGGGCAACACACAGAGGACTGCTCTGAGGCCCCCTAGTCTCCCACAAGCCTGGGCATCTTGCAGCTTCTGGTCTCCTGGTAGTGCCAGGCCCTGTGTGGGCTCGGGGGACGCAGCAGTGGGGATGGCCCAAGTCCCACCCCGTGTTGGCAGTGGCACTTGAGTTGAGACCCATGGAGGTGACAGAGGGAGCTGCAGGGAAGAGAACTCCAGCAGAGGGAAGGGCCACCGCGAAGGCCCTGAGGCCAGGCTGGGGACAGTTTAGGATCAGGTCTTAGGAGCCCAGGGGGTTGGGGGGCTGGCTGGGCCTCGTGGGCCCTGGGGTGTCCGACCTGTGGGCGAGGGCAGGCAGGGGCCGGCCAGGCCGGTGACTAAGCCTCACCCCTGCCCCCCATCCGCCCTGGGGTCCCCCAGCCACGCCCACTGAGGCTGAAGAAAGAGGCCATTGTCCCCACTTCCCGCCCCCACCCCATGGGGACAGGAACTGCCTGACCCCCTCCCCAGCAGCACCCGGCCCCCTCCCCAGCAGGCCAGGACAGGAGGGTGCGGTCCGGCTCCCACACCCAGCAGCGCCAGGTGGGAGGCGGGCAGTCTGCTTCCGTGAGATGGAGGTGCTGGAAGCCGTGGGGGCGCCCTCCTCCAGGCAGCCCTGCCCTCCGGGGCTTGGAGGCCCAGCCAGCCAGTGCTGGGGCGTGACCAGGCTGAGCAGGGGCCTGGTGCTCACCCTGCCCTGTGGGCCCCGGCCCGCCCACCCTCCACTCCAGCTCCTCTAACTCAGGCCTGAGCGACGGCTCTGACCCACCCTGGCCTCCTTCATCACCCCAGGGCTGATCTTCCCTGCCACTGGGGAAACTGAGGCAGACAGAGCCCTCGGTGAGGCTGCTTCCCACGCGTGGCCCCAGCCCTGTCCCCACCCTCCCAGCTGGGAGCCTGGGGCCCATTGGAGTCGCGTGGGAGCATTGAGTAAGCGGGTCTGTGCCCAAGCTATAATTACCCAGGCCGGGGCTTGGGGTGGCGAAACCGGGGCTGCCTCTGCCCGAATCGGCCTCTGCTCAGCCCCCCGGGCACCCCAGGCTAGGCGTGCTTCCCCGAGCCCCCAGCCTCAGCCGGGAAGTCCCTGTCGTCTCCTCCGGGCCGGGTCTGGGCCGGGCACCGGGCAGGAGGCCGGAGGGTGGAGAGGGCCTGGTTAGTCCCGGTCGTGATGAATTCATGGTGGCCCAAGGAGGCAACGTGTGTGGAAGGCAGCAGGAGTCTGCTTGCAGAGGGCCAGGCCTTGACCTTCAGAGCAGCAGAGAGCCATGGAGGGGTGAGAGCGAGTAGGATGTTGTCAGAGGGAGCCACCTGGGTCTAGAGTCCAGAGGAGGAACCAGGTGTTTAGGAGTTGGGACGTTCACAGTGGGGCCTTGAGGGATGAATAGGAGTTTGTCGGCCCTCACTCTGAAGCTGCTCGCAGTGTGTTGGATGTGGGAAGGAAGAAACCCGGGGTGGCTCGGAAGTGTGAGAGGCAGGGACGACGGGGCACAGGTGAGATGCTAGTGAAGGCCCCGAGACCCGGACCTCCAGGTTACCTGCATAGTTCAGTTCTCTGCGGCCACAGCACGAGAGCAAGGACGAGGAGAGGTGAGGGTGACCCCGTCCCGGCCGTCGGAGCGCTTGCATGCCGAGTCCGAGCTCTGGGGAGCCCCCTGCCTTCCCAGCCCCTGTCCCTTCCGACCTGCCTCACTTGAGGGGCTCAGGAGCCTCCCCGGGGCCACGGGGCTGAAACGTGCCCCAGGCTGGGCCAGGTCCACACTGGTCCCAGTTGGGGTGTCCTGAGAGAAACAAGGGAACCCCCCAGACAAGAGAGGCTCAGGTGGTCTTTGGAGGCGAGGAACCGAGGGCATCCGGGAAGGCCCCTCTGAGGAGGTGACGTGAGGGCCCGGGAGGCGTAGTGAGACCGGCGCCAGCGAAGGCCCAGGGGCCGGCGGTGCCCAGGCTGGGGAGGAGGAGGGCGGCCGAGCGGCTTCCTGGGGTGCGGGGTTTGGGCCACTGTGTGCCGGCGCTGACCCGCCGCTGGTCCCCAGGCAGGACAAGCTGAAGGTGCACATGCGGAAGCACACGGGCGAGAAGCCCTACCTGTGCCAGCAGTGCGGCGCCGCCTTCGCGCACAACTACGACCTGAAGAACCACATGCGCGTGCACACCGGCCTGCGGCCCTACCAGTGCGATAGCTGCTGCAAGACCTTCGTGCGCTCCGACCACCTGCACAGGCACCTCAAGAAGGA